GAGTGCTGCTTCAGCAACAGCTGAACCTGTCACTTTGGCTGCTGTGGTGCTGAAGTTCACAACAGCAATAAGAGGAGTCTCCTTATTCCAAGCCGAATGAGGGTCATAGCTGGGTTTGGCTGAAAAATGCAAGAACACTGGAAAGAGTGTTTCCTGGACTCTGCCTCTAGGAGTTGATTCATCTGAGGCTTTTTAAAACCCTCTCTCAGTCCAGAGATTTTTCCAGAAGTGCAGAGCAGGCTCAGTGCTGGTACTTTCTTATTTCTAAAAAATACCTCCAAAAATATTTTACATTATTTTTAGTGTTGTTTTCCTATAGAAAAGATTCTTGTAGTGGCAATAGGGAGGTTATGTGACTGCCAGTGGAAAAGAGGCCTTTCTAACACTCTCGTGAGTTGCCATGGTATAACAAGTTATATCAGCTGACCTGTTGTAGTTGTTTATCCCATACTTCTAACCTGCAGTAAATACAAGGTAATAAAATTTTAATTTTAGCATTTAATGAGAGGCTTCATGCCACCACAGACTTATGAGCCTTACCTCATACATGTTTATCATGTATGTTCCTTAGTAAACTGACTGCATTGCTGCCATCAGCCTGGCTGGTCCCCACAGTATGCTGTCTGATGCAGATCCAAGCTCAGTTTGTGCAGCTTCTGTTGTAGGGCTTTCTTCATTCCCCAAAGGGTATTCTGCAGCTAAATAAAAACTGAGGTCAGGAGAGTTGTTCTCATATTAAAACCAGAGGTTATTATTTTTGAAACCCCAAAATAAAGATATTCCCTTGCTATTTTATGACATGCACTCCAGGAGAAGGTTTCTCTTCCTGTACCAGCACAAAGATGGACAAAATATATTTTCTGCTTTGAAAAGCTATTAAGCTTTTGTCCTTTTGACTAAACTTGCCCTAAGAGTGACAGATTAAAAGGCAAGTAAGAACACAGCAAACTATCCCCTTAGTGTTTCACAGCATGGGGTCTAGAAGAGAAAACTTGGGGTCAGTATTGAAGATTCTCCTTAGCTGGGTTCAGCCTGTCACTTGGGCAGTTTTACAGCTGTCTTTCATTGGCTTCTCCTTCTGTCCCAGCTCTACATGTTGCTTCACAGCCATGGCACCGATTCCTGCTCTTCACACTACTCAATGGGGGCCAGAAGTCCTTTCTGCAGCCAGAAGTTCTGAGGCTGATGACTTTGGTGAGCAGGAGAAGGGCAAGCTGTTCTCCATTTTTCCCAGTATGTTGGTACAATGCATGTGGATCAGTTATTGGAACTTAACCTGCTACACACACCCAATCTCACATACTGCTGTGGCTTTGTCTGGCACTATATTAGTGACCTATATTAATAATGATACTTTCGAGTGAACTTCCCTTCCACACCCTGCAGAAACTGACTGCTGTTAGTGAGTACTTCCTGTTCTTCTGGTGTTTGTAGCATTTATTTATAACATCTAGGACCCCTGGGGGGAGAGAGGAAACCTGCAGAGAACATACAACTGCTGTTACCAGTCAGGGAGCAAGCTGACTGCTTGGCATCACAGCTTGTCTCCCCATCTTCAGCCTTACAGACATGACTTTTCAGGGCAGGGAGTTAGCACAATATACTACCTTGCTGTATGTGGGGCCTGTGGGCTAGAGGGGGAATGTGGTCCTACCCAGCAGAAATACTGCAGATAAAGCCCTCTTGGCAGTGGATGAGAGGAGGGGGCTATTAATGCGAACCTTCCCCCTCCAAATACAAGATGGGTCTGTGAGTATTTGCTGCTTTATTTCAGTTTTAAAAGGTTACCTGATTTATTTTAGTTACTTCCCGACCCAAACCAAAATAAATATGGCTATAAATCAGAGCACTGTAAACACAGATACTTGCACTGGTTCTATTAGAGGTGGTATAAAAATCAGGCCTGTGGTTAGGGTGTTGCAGCATCCCATCACATAGAAGAGGTCTTTGCAGGCGATGAGTCACTGTTGCAGTCTGCGGGTCTTTCACTATTTAATGCCTCTATTTTTTCCTTTGTTCAAGTTTGTGAGATATCAGAGCAGCAATATTATTTCTCAAAAAGAAATTAGCCAGATTCTTCAGGAGGCAGCAGAAGCCAACTTAGCAGAACTGCCTGAGGCCACATCTTGTGCTCTTCACCACTTCCTTTGTCAGGTAAGAAAGCAGTGACTGCCAAGGAAAATTGGAAGAGAATCCCTGGGTGTTTGCTTTAGCCTTTGATGGGGAGCCATAAACTTCCTTTTGAGGAGGCTATAGTAAGATGAAGAGGAATCCTGCCCCGAGGGGTGTACAGTGGAATCAGAAAGGGAGTGATGCCAGCCACTGCCTAAACTATGTCATCAGATTGGGCGGCCCCTTGATTACCCCCCAGATCAAAGTCTGAAGATTTCATTGCTCTGTGTGGAGATGAGGGAGGGAGTATGAAGGAACAAACCCAACAGTTTTCTGGAACAGTTGGTCATTCTTTCTTCTGACTGCTCAGATTCAGAGCAGTCATTACCAGGTGGAGCCAGTGCAGTCAGGGACCATTCAGACCTTGCTGGATCGTCTCCTGGGACAGAGGACCACGTGTATAAAACATCAGGACATTGTGTATCCTTTGCTGGGCAAATGCCTTTGATAGGTGATGTGAGTGGTAGGTGTAACAAAGGTTGGAAGGGATACTTAAGCTGCTGTTCCTTCTCTTGTTCCAGCTGAAGGCAAACAAAATTGAAAAACTGAGTGGTTGCTACACTTGACTAACTTTGGGATGAAAGACTTCATCATCTCCTAATCTGAGAAGATGTTTGGGAAATACAGAGACATTTGGGATGAATGATGGGTCTCTGTGCGGGGCTTGCATTCATCTGTAAGGCAGAGGTGGTCTGATGAAAGGGGAGCAGGTTGGGGAGTCTGACTTCAAAGCAGTAATGATCTCTGTATTGATTTTCCTGGAGTATGAGCAATGAGTTAACCTCTGTCTGCATGCTGGCTACTGCTGGTATGCCCATGAAGTAGTGAAAACCCAAAGATGACTCAGGCACTTTCAAAGTGCAGGGAGCATTTGGGAACCAGTGAGGGGAGTTAGCAAATTTTATTCTACTTGGCCTTAGAGTTGCCTGCTGAGAACTGAATCCTCCTTTTCTCTGGGGATGGAGTCGGGGCCACTCCCAGATTCCTTGTGGAGAAAGAAGGGGCCTGGTGCAATATTTGGTTATTTCCCAAACTTTTCTTTGCCTTCCTGTTTTCATCGTGCTGCATTGCCTTGCCTCAGACATATAGCATGATGGAAGTGGCCAGGGCACTGATTTCCTGTTGGTAGGGGGTCTTCCTTCACTGTGGAACACCATCATCAGCCATATGCAGGATGTGCAGTGGGTGAGGTATTTGTTCCGTGAGGAGTAGCTTGTCTTTGTGCTTACCCCCAATGTGATACTACTTCTCTGTTGTGGGACACCGAGAGGGCAAGTTGTCCTGGTGGAAACCATCCAGATAGTCATGAACAGGGAAGACAAAATCCTCTGGTCAAACTCAAGCTTTGACATCAGTTTTGTTGAGAAAGAATTTTTCTTCAGGTTTACCTACACTGATGTTTTTCGCATATGTTGGGAGTGGGGCTCCATGGCTTGGGGAGGCTTGGTTTAGTAATGAAAACCTCCTGTCAGTGGTATGTCAAATGTGGGAATTCCCATAGCATGCTGGAGTTCAGCCATGCCTTTCCTTTGGTTTCCACTCATGATGCCAATGACAGATGTCTGGGAAGTGTGGCAGTGTCCCTCTCACACATTGGCAACTGAAATGAGAAGATGCAGTGTGCAGAGCAGAGGAAAAAGGCAAGAATGGAGCAAAGACCCCATCCTGCCATTTATTCCCAGTGAGTAGTAGAGAGAGAAGATGGACAAAGGAAATAATTCGTTGCTCATTTTGAGAAAAAGGTTTGCTGAAACTCATTTATAAAGTTCTGTTGCTGAAACGGCTCAGTTTCCTTTTCTGTGCAGGGTGAGGCTTGGTTGATGCCCTTCAGCTATCAAACTACAGACCTGCCGGGGGAAACGATGGCGTAGAGGGATGCCATGGAAGAGGTGCTCTGCTCACCCGCCTTGGCTCATGGCTCTCCGAGATGGCCTCTTAGCTCTGGGCTGGCAGGGGCGGCGGGGGCTCAGCGAGGACCCCGGGGAAGCAGGATATGCCTCGTGTGCCATGGTGCTGAGTAGACTTCTTCCAGCTCACGAGTGACTCCTTCGACTACAGCTCCAGCCCCCACTGTCCTGTTGCCTCCACACCCTTTAAGTGTCCCGTTCCCGTCGAGGCTCTAATTAACGGAGTTCCTTCCCTCGCGGAGCCGGGAGAAACCCTCCCACAACGAGAGCG